TGAGCTACAGCACCAGCTCTTACACAGCAATTTGAATATGCAAATATCACCGTTTATTTGCCCAAACTTACGATGAGCTCATTGTGCTTCCTGTGCTTCCGCAGTTATTGACATTACCAGGACTCACAAAAGCGGCAGAGGGTACTAGGTCAGTTTTCTGAAAGAAGAAGCAGCATTTAATTTAAATACAACTAACTTCCTTCTCCCCAGTAACTAGCCTCAGTGTACAACTATTACCCCAGTAACTGCATTCCCCCCAGGTTCTCCAAATCCACAGGCATAAACAATTATAAGAGAAATATAATTTTTATGCATGTTTGATCTGGATTTAAAAAACAACCCTGAGTTGCTCCCAGAACTTTTATCCCTTAGGGCCTCGCGTAGCCCCTGTGGTGGGACACAGAACTGAGGAATCAATTACTATGCAACTGGCTATGTTGGCATTCTGTAAATACAATCCAACCTCAACCTCAGAAGAAATTTTAAAACATAAAAAATTAAATTAATGGCAGTACATACCATTGGGCTTTCTTCTGATAGTTTCTGAAGTGCACATTTAGCAGCCAATTGTTTTGCTTCCTGCTTAGTGGAACCTATACCAATACCAAATACTTTCTTCCCAATTTTGCATTTATACTTAAATCTAGGAGAAATGATAGAGTATTCATCCAAATATCCAAAAAACAGTAAATGAACTTACGATTAAATTGAACTTATGATTTGAAAAAAAAATCACATAGTAAGATAATACTAATTTATTTGCTAGATTTATATTTCCTATCTTATATAATTAAACCTTCAGTAAGATGGTGGGTCACTTTGTCTGAATAACCAGTACTGGCTGACATCTCAGCTCACATTTTCCAAGAAACTTCTAATTCTCTGTTGCTTCATTAAAAGATCTTACACAAAGGTACTAAGTGATGATGTCTAAAAGTTCCTCAAAGGCCCAAAGATTTAGGAAAGAAAAAGCAGTAAACAAAAGGGGATTTCTACAAGGAGAAGCTCTGAGGTCCCCGTGCTATAGCAGCCTGTGGGAGGATGAACAGAACATAGATCTTGTGCTAACATCAGCATTTTATGCTACCTGCTGATATGCACAAAAATGAAAATCCCCCACGGTGCAGATCCTTTTAATACCAAAATCCACACTCCCCTCATATGAGATGCAAAGACATTTGTGGTGCCAGGCATGGTGGCGCATGCCTGTAATCATAGCATCTTGGGCTCAGGAGGTTGCAGGAGGAACACAGGTTTGAAGCCMACTTAGTGAGGTTGTAAGCAACCTAGTGAGATCCTGTCTTGAAATAAAAAAATAAATAAAAAGGGCTGGTGATGTGGTTAAGTGCCTTTGGATTCAATCCCTGGTACCAAAAAAAAAAAATTGTGAATAATGATACATATTTTTTAATTTTCTTGATCTTTTTAGATATATATGACAGTAGATTGTATTTTTGTTATAGTTTTTAGTCGTTCGTGGACATATATTTTTATTTATTTATTTATTTATTTATTTATTTATTTATTTATTTATATGTGGTGCTGCAAATCAAGCCAAGTGCCTCATACATGCTAGGCAAGCACTCTACCACTGAGCTACAACCCCAGCCCAGTAGAGTGTATTTTGACATATTTTACATACATGGAGTATAACTTATTCTAATTAGGATCCCATTCCTGTGATTGTACATGATGTAGAGTTTCACCAGTCGTGTATTCATATATGAACACAGGAAAGTTATGTCTGACTCATTCTACTGTCTTTCCTATTTTCATCCCCAATCCCTTCCCTTCATTCCCTTTTGTCTAATCCAATGAACTTCTATTCCACCCTCCACCCCAATATTGTGTGTTAGCAACCATGTATCAGAGAGAACATTTGGCCTTTGTTTTTTTGGGCCTGGCTTATTTCACTTAGCATGATAGTTTTCAGTTCTATCCATTTACCAGAAAATGCCATAATTTCATTCTTCTTTATGGCTGAGTAACATTCCATTGTGTATATAGACAGTATTTTCTTTATCCATTCATCTGCTGAACAGCACCCAGGTTGCTTCAATAGCTTAGCTATCGTGAATTGAGCTGCTGTAAGCATTGATGTGGCTGTATCACTGTAGTATGCTGATTTTAAGTCCTTTGGGTATATACCAAGGAGTGGGATAACTGGGTCAAATGGTGGTTGCATTCCAAGTTTTAAGAACTATTTTTAAAGGCAAAGCAATGAACATAGCACTACATATCATGGAGTTACTTTATATATTACTATAAAATTACTCCAGTATTTGCATTTTTTTTAACTTTTTATTTCAACTGAAGGATGTAGAAGGAAACACACCCAACCAGGATGAGTCATCCCACTACACCCTGAATTAAAGAGCTGGGCTGAATGATGGGATCATCTCTATAGTTCCCGTCTCATCCAGTACCCCCYGATAGACTTCTCTCTTTTGGTACCTGGTGTTGGAGTGCTTAATTGGAAGAAAGTGAAAAGGCAAACTACACAAAAATAGTCACAATTATTGAGATTGACCCACCTAATTCACTTTTGCCTATTTCATCCCAATAATTCTACTGAGTTTTTTCTTTTTCTATTTCTGGTCTGAAATTCTTCAGAGTAAAAAGCAAACAGTGGAGTCACTTCATAGGACAGTATCCTGAGTGACAGTTTGGACTATTTGCCACTTGGGTTCTCTTCTCTTTCCTTTAACTAGTTGGCTGCAGTTGAGATACAATCGCCCTATATACATTTACTTTCTACTCTTTCAGTTCCAATCCATCCTTTATCCCCACTTCCACAGGTCTTAGCTGACTGGTGATGTTCTTAGTAACTCTCAGTCTCTAATCCATTTGTTCATTCAGCATATCCCTCAAATCTGTTCCCTTCAAGTCTAAGGCTAAAACCATTCCTTCTGATACATGGTATTTGACCATTTAATCAGATTTTAGGGACAAACACCTAGACAAATAGCTCCCTGATCTGACAATGTTGAAAAGTCATTCTAGACATGTGACAGAGCAATTTTCACATAGCTACTGTCACCATGATTTCAGGGATGGGAAGAACCCCACATCGCTCAAGCAGGGGCACCCTGTACTCTTGAGTTGTATAACAGACTAACTGCTCAGATACATCTCAGAAATACAGTAGTCCCCTCTTAGCCATGGAAGATACGTTCCAAAAACTCCAGTAGATGCCTAAAACCACAAACAATACCACATCCTGTGTGTGTATGTGTGTGTGTGTGTGTGTGTGTGTGTGTGTTACCAATCTGGGTAACAAGGTGAGAAAGGGTCTCAAAAAAAAAAAAAAAGATATCCAGTTGCTTATTGAACCCTTCCATGCAGAAGTACAAACATTTCTGAAAATTATATAAGAACAAATATTTCTGAAAATTATAGAAGAAAATAAACCCACTATATGCTGAAATACAATGAAATAAAAGGAAAAACCAAACTACAGCTTACTTTTTGGGATCCTGCTCCCCCAATTCACATTCTTCATAATTTACATTTAGTTTTTCCTTCTGGGAAATCCTATTGACAAGTCCTATATAATTCCCAGGGGGTGATCCTTCTGAGGTATCTGTTGTCGCCAAGGATAAAGGACTAACTGCCTGGAAAAAAAAAAAAACTTGTCTCATATAAATTATAACAAAGATTTTACCCTTTATTTTACCCTTCAATTACTAAGTTCACAATCTGAAAGACATCTTAGATGGTATTAATGATATCCCCTTGTTAAAGATAGAGGTAACTATATACCTCTACCCCCAAAAAAGKCTTTTTAAATTAAAGAATGAATAGACAAATAAAAATTATGTATATGCATGGTATACAACATGACATTTTGAAATGTATACTTATCTGGTTTTTGTGGTTGGAGCACTTAAAATCTACTCTCTCAGTAATTTTAAGGTAGGTAATATATGAATTCACCCATTTTCCTTTTACAATGCCATTAAGAAAAAAACAAAATCTTGTCAATTTTCTTGTTTAATCAGGCAATGTACTCTAACACTCTCTATCTCACTTATCTTTTCTAAATCTTAAAAAACAGGGTAACATATTAAAGTAAAGATATATCCTAGATCACACCTTAATGGAAATGGTTAAGATGATAGCATCATTCCCACTATTGTTATCTGAACCTTATTCTTTTCTTTTTTTTTAATCAATCTGACCAGGTCAGGTCAAAGTTTTTCTACTTTAATAATCTTATCAAAGGTAGGGTAGTCTATTTTATTTTCTAAACTTCTTGACTCAGTTTTCAGCTTATTAATAATTTCAGCTTATTAATAACAATTTCAGCTTATTAATAATAATTTTGCTTAGTTATTTTCAATTTTGATTAAAAGGCTGACATCTTCAAGTAAGAATTTTTTCAAGAAAGCTAAATTTTCCCAATATTTTCAGTATATGAAAATGATCCTCTGTTGTCTCACATGTGAATGACTTCATGTCTCATTTTACAACCATTGCTCCACTGTCTCCTGGTGGACATCACCAAAATTCTTTTCATTTTTACACTTTGTTATTTTTCTTCTTCTGTGTATTTTTAACTTCTGCCTCGCTGCTTGTAGAATTCTTCCTTCCTCCCTAGAGTTCAGTACATTTGTCAGGATCACTGTTGTTCTTAGTGGCCTGGTATTTTCCTATGTTTTAGTCAGTTTTTTCGCTGCTGTAACTAAAAGACAAGGCCAGAACCATTGCAGAGAAGGAAAAGTTTATTTAGGGGCTCAGAGTTTCAGAGGTCTCAGTCCATAGACAGCAGGTTCCATTCCTCAGGGCTCCAGGAGAGGCTGAATATCATGGCTGAAGAGTGTGGCAGAGGGAAGCCTCTCACAGGGTGATCAGGAAGCAGAGAGAGATGTCTCCACTTGCCAGATACAAATATGTACCCAAAGCCACACCCTCAATTCCCACCTCCCCCAGCCACACCCCACCATTTCAGTTACCACTCAGTTAATTCCTATCAGGGGATTAATTCACTGATTGGGTTAAGACTCTCCCACCCCAAATTTATCTTCTGAACCTTCTTGCATGGTCTCACACATGAACTTTTGGGGGACACCTCACATCCAAACCATAACATCCTATATCCAGTGAGTTATTTTAATCTGTAGTCACATCTTTCTTTCCTGAGAAATGAAAGATTTCATGCTGAAATCTCTTCAGATGGTTTTGTTTGTTTGTTGGGTGTTGGGGATTGAACCCAGAGCCTTGCATATGCTCAGCATGCTCTCTACCTCTGAGCTACCCTTCCAGCCCCAACAGTTTTTTTTTTTCTGTTCTATTTACTCTGTTTGCATTTTCAGGGACATCAATTATATTTATGCTGGTTCTCCATTACCTGCCCTCCATGTACATCATTCTCCTTACAAGCACTTCATCTCYTCTTTCCYTTCTATGTCCCCCAATGAGTTGGAGGGGACTCTTCCCACAACCTGTCAGTTCATTTCTGCCTGACCACGTCTCAGCTTTACACATTTGCCCAACTTCTGAGTACYGGATTGCTGCTAGCACTCTAACTGGGCATTATCCAGCTTAGCCCACTCTTTCCCAGATGTATTTCCCAGGGTTTTACAAAGAAGAAGACAGGGAAAGACTGAAYTAAAATGTAAAGAAAATTGTGAATGGTTTTACCATGTATGTAGGTATTTTTTTTCACAGAGAGAAATACTAAATATTTGTTAAGTTCCCTTTTACTAGGAGAAATAAAAGAGCAATTTCCTACCTTGTTTTCTTTATTAAGTATATCAACAGCTATTTTGGCTGCAGCATTTTTTGCTTCCTGCTTTGATTTGCCTTCAGCTTCTGGAAATTTTCTCTCATCTATTATAACTTGAAACGTAAACCTAATTACAAAGAGAATATTCACATACAACTCATGCATGTGTAAGAACAAGTGGTCCAATCACCAGGCTTCCTGTGACTATCTTTAAGGGTTTGAACTTATCTTCTATTTAGAATGTAAGCAGCCACCCCAAACAGTAGAACAACACACCTCTTGAAGCTCACAAAAGCTATACCCTCTTTTTTTTTTTTCCCAGAGTCAACTKAGGTCACCAGTTTAGGTCAAGAGGATTCTCACAGAACTCCTTGACAACTTTGCTACAGAACTAAATTATTGACCTCAAAATTACACCAGAGTTGCCAGTGTCCTAATTTACATTTACAAGGATATATCCTTTTCTGGATGTATGCTGTAGGTATCGAACCTAGTATCGAACTCATGCTAAGCACAAGCTGTACCACTAAACTACACCCCCACACAAGCCCTTAGGACTTCTCTTGTTTGATAGCAACTTGCCTTAAATCATGGGGAGGTCCTGTTGTAGCCAGTTTTTGGTACTTAAGATCTACTCGATACTTCTGATGGTACTTATTAAGTTCTTCTATGAAGAAACCTCGCGAGAGGTTTGCCATTTCTTCTCCCAGTAACCTACAATGGAAGAGATGTTTCAGTAAGTGACACTCATAGAACATATATTTTTTAAAAATTTATTTTTTAGTTGTAGGTGGACACAATATCTTCATTTCATTTTTATGTGGTGCTRAGAATAGAACTCAGTGCTTCATGCATGCTAGGTGAGCTCTCTACCACTAAGCCACAACTCCAGCCCTCACAGAACATATGTAATCTGATTTTCCCAGTGTAATTTAGAACAAACTCTCCTCAGTATGACTCACAGGGGTCCCGCAGAAATTCAGAGAACTTTCTTTTGAAATCTTTCTTTCTCTCCTATGGACTATACAATCAAGCTAATCTGTCCAAAAACCTCTACTTTCAAAACTCAGCGGGGGGGGCTGGGGATATAGCTCAGTTGGTAGAGTGCTTGCCTTGCATGCACAAGGCCCTGGGTTCAATCCCCAGCACTACCAAAACAAACAAACAAACAAACAAAACACCCAGTTGGCTAAGAAAGAAGAGAGCCCTCCTTCTTTACACTACTCTGTGCTCCTACTGAGTGTCAAATGCAAACCTGTATAACTGCTCATGAAGCTAAAAAGGGAACAGGTAAAATTCGAATTTTTGATGTTGAGAGCAAGGTTTAGTGTATACAGAATAAGTAAGCTTACACAWTCATGAAAGATTTGGTTGTATAGAAATAGATTCTCCTATGAAATTGCAAAAACTCCTCCTTTGAAATCTGCAGAAATCAATTTTAGGACAATTCACCCAATGGGTAAATTAAGATCCAGGTTTACAGGTCTCAGTAGACCAAAATGATAGCATGATTTAAATTATAAACAAAATTTAAAAGACATATAATTTATACATAGGAAGCCAAAACTATAAAACTCTTAGAAAAACACATAGATGTGAATCTTCATGAACCTGGATTTGACAAGAGAATCTTAGTTATGACAGCAGAAGTATGAGCAATCAAAGAAAACACAGAAAAATTGGGCTTCATCAAAATGAATAACTTCTGTGTAACAAGGACACCATGAGACAAATAAAAAGACAATCTTCAGAATAGAGTATTTTAAATTTATATATATGGTAAGGATCTGGTAACCAGAATATATAAAGAATTCTTGTAATTCAACATTTAAAAATCAACCCAAGGGCTGGAGATATAGCTCAGTTGGTAGAGTGCTTGCTTAGCACGCACAAGGCCCTGGGTTCAATCCCCAGTACCACAAAAATAAATAAACAAACAAACAATAAACAAATCCATAGAAAATAGGAAAAGGATTAGAACAGCTATTTCTCCAAAGGAGACATATAAATGGCCATGAAGTACATGAAAAGATGCTCAACATCACAACTACATACTACTTCACGTCCACCTCAATACTGAAAACAATCAGAGAATGAAAATGTTGGTAAGGATGTGGAAAAATTGAAACCCTCATACATTGTTGAAMAGAATGTAAAAGATACAAGTGCTAAGGAACACAGTTTGGTGTTCCCTCAAAAAGTTGAGCTAATAAGGGGACGTTGACCAATGTGGCCTAATTTTTAGTTAGAAGGGAGAAGTTCTGGAGTTCTTTTACACAATAGGGTGACTATAGGTAATGACAATGTAACTGTATATTTCAAAAAAGCTAGGAAAAAGCAATTTGAATGTTTTCTCCCTAAAGAAATGAATAAAGTTTCAGATTGCTATGTTTAACCTGATTTAACACTGCATAATGCATACATGTATCAAAACATTACTTGGCATATAATAAACATGCACAATTTTTCTGTTTTTATGTATCACCTAAAAATTAATTGAAATGCTTTAAGAAGTGAAGCTGCTAACTAAATTCCACTCCTAGGTATTTCAAAGAATTGAGGAATAGATTTCAAACACATCCTTACATAGGAATGTTCATAGTAGGACTRTTCACAATAGCTAAAATGTGTAAACAAACCAAGTATCCATCAACTAATGAAAGGTAAACAAACTGTAGTATATCCACACAATGGAACATTATTTGGTCACAAAAAGGAATGAAGTACTGGTATATGCTATAGCATGGATGAACTTCAAGAACGTGCTAAATGAAAAAAGCCAGATGAGAAAGGTCATGTAATATGATTCTATTTATATGAAACCACCAGAATAAGTATGTACACCTATAGAGACTGCAAGGCAACCCTGCTAAACTCTTACTTCTCACTCTCTTGTGATTCTCCTTCTTCCATGGGTAACACTTCTTAATTTCATAGGCCCCAAATGCTGACACGGTCTGAAGACCCTATTCCTGCCAGATGCAGCGGCACATGCTGGTAATCCCAGCAGCTTGGGAGACTAAGACAAGAGAATCATAA